ACACCCCTGGAAGAGTTCCCTCTGCATCACACTGGCATGCTGTGGAGAAACAACCAACATCATCACTCAGATGCATTTCTTTCAGTGTAGAAGCCTAAACTGTAGTTTTGACACAGGAGAAAAACATTTTCAATAAACTAGAAGAGTGACTATGCAGAGTGTTGGACTCTTAGGAGCTGAAATGAAATTTTGAAGTTAAAACGATCAGAACAAAGCTAAAGTTAGCAAAACAGAAGCTTAAAGTTAAAATGATAAGAACATTACCCAAAAGCTGACAAGACAGCAAAACATTCGATAAATGCTAAAACCCGCAAAACCGTATGTAGCTATAACTTAAATTAAAGCTGCAAGCAGCGTTGAAGGCCCTCGCAGCGAAGTGCCGCTACAGCCTTACGGCGACCGCGGGAACTCGAGCGACTCTTCCCGGTCGCCATCGAGAACGCTTCTGCTACCGCCCTGCTCCCGTTCCCCGGAGTGCGCATTCACAGAACCTTTGACATCAGCTGCGACCGCGGATATAACTATTTTAATATTTAGGGGGCGCTCTAGAGTCAAAAGTTAAAAAACACTACTAATGTGTCCATAATTGCTTACTAATGACGCAACCAAAATCTGGTCCAGATCGGACGATATATGACTGAGATATAACAGTTTGATTTATCTAGGGGGCGCACTTGAGTCAAATATTAAATAACAACACCACTGTGTCCATAAGTCCTCACTAGTCAAGCACGAAAAATCTGGTGCAGATCGGACGATATATCACTGAGATATAACAGTTTGAATTATCTAGGGGGCGCACTTGAGTCAAAAGTAAAACAACAATACCATTGTGTGTTTAAGTGCTCACTAATCACACACCAAAAATCTGGTCCAGATCGGATGACATATCACTGAGATATAACAGTTTGAATAATCTAGGGGGCGCACTTGAGTCAAATTTTAAACAACAATAACAATGTGTGTAGACATGGTCACACATTATGCCACAAAAATCTGGTGCAGATCGGATGATATATCATTGAGATATAACTGTTGCAATATTCTAGGGGGCGCTCTAGAGTCAAAATTTAAAAAACATTACTACTGTGTCCACCAGGGCTAAATAATAATACACCATAAATTTGGGACAGATCGGCTGATATATCACTGAGACAAAACAGTTTGAATAGTGTAGGGGGCGCACTTGAGTCAATTATTAAACCACAAAACTAAAATGTCCATCAGTTCTCAGTAATGACGCACCAAAAATCTGGTTCAGATCGGATGTTGTATCACTGAGATATAACTGTAAGAAGAATGTAGGTGGCGCTGTGGAGGCTCTTGGCCACTTATCATGGAACCCTGTTCAAAGGTGGATAATGATCAATCATAGTGATTTTGGTTCATCTGGGCTCCAATCTGTGCAATTTAGAGCCAAACGTATTGCAACGGCGTCACTTTTTAATTCGCCATGGCGCCACGCCCACATTCTCCAGCTATAACTGTTTTGTTGTTTAAATCAAGTCAGACCATCTTATCTGTCTTCTAACACAGGATCATCCTGATTATGTGAAGGGTGTCAAAGAAGGAACATTCCAAGCAAAAAAAGTCACTTCCTGTTCTGAGGGGGCGAGGCTTTGATGACGTCACAATATGACCTCAGGGTATCGTCGGGCATGGGACAGGGCTGACTCGTGCCAAATTTGGTGCAAATCTGTTTTTCAAGTTGAAAGTTATAACGTTTGGAAATTTATGGCGTGAAGCTCAACTTTGAGGCCTGGCCACGCCCCTTTAACAAAACGAAACCGAAAGCTTTTGATAACTTTTACTCTGCAATGTCTTAAGGGCCTAATAACCAAGTTTTAAGTCAATCCTTCAAAATCCCTAGGAGGAGTTCGTTAAAATTTGCCGTTAAAAACGCCCAAAAATTAACCTTTGACCCAAAATGGCCGACTTCCTGTTGGTTTTGGACCGAGCTCCAAGAGACTTTTTCATAGTTCCCGAGAAGATACACATGTTCACCGAGTTTCAGATTTATCGGTCAAAAAATGGCTTTGGGCTGAGGTTTTAAAATATTCTAGGGGGCGCTAGAGAGGCTATTGCGCAATTATCATGGTTTCCTGTTCAAGGGGCGGGCA